TTGTATTCCATACATGTTAATATATCATTTGAAGCCCTTGTTGTGACATCATAACCTACACAGATTCACATATTGTAGATGATTATAGCTTATTGTAGAAATAGTGACTTTTTTGCAGTAGCTTGTTTTAACTGCCTAGAAATGAGTATTTTTCGTTTAATGTCACCCAATAGACTTTTTACAGAACTGCAAAACAGAATTGCAGCAACAGGACTCGAACCCTCGACCATCTGCCTTGTAGCCCCCTATCTTGCCACTGCGCCACCGCCACACTGCTGCGTTGTTCTAGCGCCTCGCTCATCACTGGGTGCGCCATCTGCGCCGGAGGAAAATGGCTTGTAACTCCCCACACAAAACCGCTCGGCACCTAGCGAAAGTAGTTTTGGGTTTGCCTTACCGAGGACGGTTTCCTAATATACAGCTCATTCCAAATGGCCACTTCGACCGATCATCCTTCCCTTGTCAGATATGCATTTATTGAATATTTTTCCGCTCATAGAAAAGATAGCCTCCCCCCACCCCCACATACGGTGACCGCTATGAAGTTGCAGGCAAGCCGCCTTCCTTTCTTCGCTTATTTTCTGATGAAAATAAAGATGAGATATGATTGGATTGAATGAGATGATAGAGCTCTTCAAAAGCTACAACCCCGCACATTACGTTTTCCAAGGAACATGCATTCTAAAAGTAATAAAAACAAGCTTTCCGAGCACGAAATGGACTCAATGTCAGCGGAAACTTACAAAATTAGGCCAATTATCAGTTGCGTGGGCGGCCCCACCGAAGGATTTCATGGTACCTTTACAAGATCGTGAGCCAGCTGCTAACGAAAGTACCAACACACTTATCCAATGCACGCGAGTTCGTGGAACAGCTTCGAAACGCTAAGTTTGATTCGAGCACGGTAATTGAGTCGTTTGACGTAACGTCTCTTTACACTAATGTGCAGAATGACCAGGCTTTGCAAGCGTTATCGGAAATGTTGGACAAGTATGCTGATACAATGAACATGTTTGGACTTAGCAAAGCGCATAGATGGCCCTAGTGAAAGAGTGTTTAAAATGTACCATTTTCAGATGGTCTTTGACTTATTAATCCCAGATACGTTAATTAGCTATGGGCCAAAGGCTAGCACCAGTTTTCGCCATATGATTTATGAGCAGAATTGAAGAGCCAGTTAGCACGTATGCCACTGATGTACTGTCGCTACATCGATGATTGCTGTGTTGCAATTTCAACGCAGTCCGAGATGGACGAGTGTTTCAGAATTCTTAACCAGCAATCACAGTACATCAAGCTCACACGTGAGATACCTCGCGATGGATGGCTGCCTTATCTCAGCGCTCAAGTAAAGGTGACCGCTGGCATTGTAAGAGTCAAATGGTATCACAAAGAAAGCTCCATAAATATCCTCATCAATGTAAAATCTGCACATCCTGCTTCCGTGAAGCGTGCTGTCATTGGTAACATATTTAGAACCGCGATGCAGATGTGCAACGGAGAAGAGGAGCGAAGCGAATCACGAAGATTGGCTACCCAAATAGCTTGCAGTAACGGTTACCATTCTTCACCAGACATTCACCATCGAAGAAATGGCAACAACATTCGGGCTGGTAACAAACTTCCACTTTGCTTGCCATTCATTTCTGATAAGACCAGCGCGGCCATGCAGAAATGCATCGTTCGTGCGCAGCTGCAAGGTGATATTATGTTAGTGAACATTCCCAACGATAATATCAAAAAACAGCTCGTAAGTAACAGGCTCTACGATCAATGCTGCAATACGGGGCAATGCGTGATATGCCCGCACGGCAGAATGGCTGACTGTGTAAAGGTGGGAGTAGTGTATCAGCTTGAATGTCTGAAATGTAATGCACGCTATATTGGGGAAACAGGAAGAACACTCGGCATTCGCATCAAAGAGCATTTGTCAGACAAAAGGCGCAAGAACTTGGCTTCGCCGCTTGGCAGACACGGGCACGAATTGCATGGTGGAGACGACTCTGATATCAAAGTTACAATTCTAACACTTGAAAAAGAGATCTCGGCTAGGAAAGCCTTGAAATCGTTCTGGTGCAAAGAGTCCAGAAATGAACAACAAAAACGAGTGTTTATTCATAACCGCTGATTTTTTCCGTTTTTATCATTATGTGAGCTATAACTGTTTATGTGACAACCCTCAGTATAGCTCAGTCGTCCGTCGCGAACATCTCATCCGGTACGGACATCTAACGAAGCGGTGGCTCCTTGGTATGTCTTTTGCCATCACAGTTCTTTTAGCACTAGATTGGGGGAAGAGCCGAGAACTGGCAAGGGCTGGTGGAGATGTTTGATGGGCTGGAGTTACGGATGAAGCTTTGAACCATTCCAGGCCTCTGATGGAGACGAAAGCGTCGAAAAGTAAGGCCGAAGAGTACTAACAATAAAAAGACCACCTAACAACCTGTTCGGCACAACAATATTTGACACTTACGAACATGCCCAGGTTTAATGACTACGAAACATGGGAATTATATTAAAAACTTTTTTTTCAAAGAAAAAAGTCCCCCCCCCCCCCCAGGGCACGTCACAATAAGTCTTTGAACGCGCAAATTTTCTTTTAGGTTTTTTCTGGAGCAAAACCACGAGTTTTCCGGACAGTTGAGCATGCTATATCATAGAGCTCATCGAAGACATTAATCGGGTGGTGGTTACTTTCAGAAAAATCCAAGCTCAAATTATATTTGTTCAAAAAATAACTTCTAATTATCTTTTCAAGCTAATTCACATGGAACCCTATTCATATCTTTTCTCTGCGGAAAAAGGCTCTTGACAGCTAGTGCACAAGACCCCACCTGCACCTCACCCATGACTTGCACCGCTTTGTGGGCTTATAGCTGTGCCGGCTGTAAAACTACGAGCATGTAGGTAGGCTCATTCGAAAGAGCGTGACTTCCTCGACAAAGATTTGAGTTTGAAAAGTCCCGGAGGTTTTACGAAAAGAGTGAAGGAGCGCAGCTTCAGTGATGATTGGACTGAAAGCTCCTATCGACACCAAAACAGTCTTAGAGCTTCGAAGCTGATTTATTGCAAGTAAATTGACAGTTCTGAACATTTTGGATAAAACTGGTGACAAAAGGAGCTTTGCTTGACTTTAGCTGAAAGATTTTCAACTCAAAACTGAAGCTGCGGTTTTTCAACTCATCCTCAAAAATTCTGAGATTTTCTCGTATCGCTCTTTTGAATGGACCTACATACAGGCCGTAGAGTGACTGCCGGCCGAGCTACAAGCCTGTAAAGCGGTACAAGTCATCGGTGAGGTGCATGCTAATGTGCACGCACTTCCAAGGGCCATTTTCATCAAGAAAACTCACTAACATGTCTGATGCGTAGAGAATGGGTGAGAATGTAAAGAAAATTGGCTTGAAAAAGTAATTAGAAGATATTTTTGAAAAAAAGCAAAATAAAATTCAAACTTGGGTTTTTTGGAAGTAAGCACCAGTAACCACCACCTGATTCTTGTCTGTGATAAGCTCTATAATATAATTTAGTATAATATAGTAATATAATATAGTATGCTTACCTGTCCGGAAAATTTCTGCTTTGCCTCAAAAAAAAACTAAATTTTCGCGTTCGAAGAATATTGTCCGCGACATTGTGACGTGCCCTGGGGGGACTTTTTTCTTGAAAAAATGATTTAACACTTTTATAATCCATGTTTTCCGGAAAGCGTAATGTGCGGGGTTGTAGCTCTTGAAAAGCTATCTCATCTCATGCAGTTCGATCATTTTTTCATCATTGTTTTTATGTGATGAGCAATGAATACGAGGGCGCCTTATCCGCAACTTTTTGGCAGTTACTTCTCACTGTATGTCATTGTATACTAACCTTAGTTTAGCCGTGGTGATCGAGAAATACCAAGCTCAACCTTCAAAAAAACCAAAAAAGGTGACATATTTGCATTTCGGGCTTCCTTAATTTTGAGCCCCGGAAAAAATCCACAAATCATTTTTGGATACCACTACGTGTCTACTGTACAAGGACGAATTTGGAGGTAGGAGTTTTTTGGAAAGAGATCGGATTTTGAGGGTGGTTGAAAGATTTTGGTTTTTTGCTCCACGTTTTATTCGGATTATGACTCAAGAGGATTTTTGGTGATATCGAATAATACTCTAAGTCTGCTAGAAAAAACAGCATTTATTCAGAAGCAATTTACTTTTGGATTTCTGCGAAAATTTTCGAATCTCCGACTTGTTAGGGCGATTTGAGATAAAGCATACGGCGACACTTCAAGACGTATACGGCCTCCTTGAAGGCAGATCGGCTCACAAATCCTCGACCTGCAGTTTTTCTGCTCACCTAGAGTAATTCGACGTGCTGGCTCCAAAAATAGACCTTGAAAAGGGCGAAAATGGCAAAAACCAGCGTTTTTCAAGGCCCCTCATTTTGAATTTGGACGACTGAAACACTTCCCCGCCAACTTCCCGCCATGATTAGAGAATTAAAGTCGTTATGTGACACTCATGGTTACAACATTGAAGCATGCCGCCTCCGACGGAGGAAGGGATATCGCAAGCTCTTCCGAATGCTCGCAGGAATGGCTTGCACGAACGGGTTTAGGGGCAGTCTTCTAGGTAGGGGCAGCATGCTGTGCGCTGGGACCTGCTCTGTTCACAGTTTGGGGTGCAAGCAACGTTCCATATCAAAATTTCGAGATGTTCGGTTTTGCTGAGCCAGTGCCCTTGAAAGCAGTGGATAAAACTTAATAGCTCAGGATTTTTATGCGGTAAGTTGCTTATCACCCAGTGTGAAAACAGTGCAATCTCGGTCGCACAGCATGCCTTCCATGCCGAGAAAATTGCTCTCAGATATAGCCAGGGTTGAGCGTGGGGTCAGGAGCGCCTGACCTGGGGGTCGTATCAGGGGTGGAAGTGGGGCGCGGGTCGTATTTGAAGGTAGGAGCAAACATGTGGTAGTGGGAGACGAATCTTCCTCTGCCTTAATTTTTGAGCTGGTGCAGGATGACAGCCTTCACTTTTGGATCTGGAGAACTTTTCCCACTGGATGAAAACGAAATAAGGAAAAGAAAAGAACAACAGATTAGTAAGAGCATATTTTTGAGCGTATAATCTTGAAAAATTTTTCATCTTTTTCTACGAGCATCCGAAGGACATCATTGCTTTGGACGATACAACTCTCCTAATTTCCGAGAATAAGGCATAACTTTAGAAACTCTGACCCAACGGCCCTCATTAGGCCACCCGGCCCTCCTCAGAGCCACTAACATTATGAGTGCAACTTCAGTTCTGAGAAAAAACTGGCAAGCAGTAAACCCCCCATCAGGGCATCTCTCTCGACGCGGGCCGGCGTTGATCTCATCACGCCTCAGTCTAGCATCCGGCGAGCCATTGATCTGGATGCGGATCGCTTCCGAGGCATTACAATCGAGTGCGTTCATGAAAAAAGAACCACTTGAGCTGGTTTGGTCAAACGGGTAAGCGATTGGAATTACACGCGCGCGGCCGTGGTTCGACTCCGACTAGCGACACACCTTTTGATGCATTGCTGGGCAATCTTTGATAGCGGCAACTACGCAATCGATGATGACCTATCAAGGATTTCGCCTAACAAATGCACGGATAAAACAAAAACACAATTTTTGACGAAAAGTTTATGAAAAAAACGAAATGGTTGCAGCGTGAATTCAATGAAATGAATAAATGAGTTCTTATTTTGGACAGCTAGTGAAAAAAAACCAGTAAGGCTTATAAAAAATAGAAGAATTTGTTTTTTGTTATCCTCGCCGAAATCAGCTGTTCATCGATCCTCTCCTTTTCGGGCGCGGTTGTGCAGTTTTGCGCCGATTTTGTCTGCATTTTTAGCTTAAGTGATGTGTATTGTAAGTTACTCAGGAGCAACTTACGGAAGTCTTGTCTGCGTCTCCTCTTTTACACACTATTTGCATCACTCTAACATCAGTTCACGTTCAGGTCACTTGAACGTGAACTGATGTGGAAGAGTTGACTGCAGCAGGTGGACAGATGGTCAACTATCAGTTCATTCGCCATTTTTATAGCATGGGAGGGTTGGCGGTCATCAGTTCACCTGACGTGAGGTGAACTGATGGGATAAGTTCAGTTCACCTGAACTGATCGAGCTTTACTGCGGGCCACTCTCTATTAAATTGTGCGGCGTTTTGTCGGTCGAGAAGGTTATTGCTGGAAACGAGAATTTTAGAAATTAAAGTACTAAAAAACCATGAAAATTGCACTGACTTGGGAATTGTTCGTGAAAAAGCTGTCACTGAGACTGACTGGTTTTAGTGTGTAAGTAATGTTCCATCAGATAGTGAAGAAATTGTGTCGATATAGATAGAAGTCCACCCGAGAATTACAATTTTCGAAGTTGAAACTGCGTAAAATAGCTAAAATTCCAACTCGTTTAAAATTTGTATATAAAAGTAACAACCGATACGAGATCATAGTTACAGGGAGTAAGTATATTGCTCTAACCAATAGTGAAAGAAGAAGGTCGATTCAGGGGTTTCTCGCCGTCAGTCAAGCACTTGAAACCAAAATGGCGGCATTTCCCATGCTTGTCCCGCGGTGACTGAACCGACACAAGTGAAGACCAGGAGGAAGAGGAGCTAGGCAAACAAGGAGTTTATTCAGAGAAAAGTATCTGATTTGGAGCCCACAGAACAGATACAAAAACAGCAGAGTTGATCTGGCTGGACATACCCAACCTACCGTATACCTACCGTAACCCCACCAAAGGTTTCATACCAGCGAAGTGAATGCTATTTGCGTAATCAGCATGCAAATTAACCCTTTGTGGACTCTTTATATATTTTCCTATCACAATTTTCCGTCTTCTCTAATGTCTGAAAGCCGCTGTTTTCAAGCATGATTAACTTGATCTTAACGATCACATAAGTCAACCTTTTTACACTTGTTACAAAGTTTTACTCTTCGCTAATATACCCTATCACTTTCGTCTCAAACCACTTTAAAGTAATGGTTTTATAATCCCCATAAAAATTTCGACAATGGCGCTTTACACATCGACTGGATTTACTGCATGAGCTCCTAGAAAGCCAAAACAAGAATAATCTGCTTTACACACCTAGTAAGGGATTTACGAGGTCTGTACTAAAGAATCATAAGACTTATTTAGAAAAGTTCATTCTGAGATGAAGTTAATGGGGTCAGGCGCAACCCCTCAAAAGCTCAGGCCGCCTGAGCTTTTGAGGGGTTGCGCCTGACCCCATTAACTCATCTTCAGACAACTCAAAACTTTCCACTTTCTCACTCAAACTGTTGATTGATCCTTCCTCTCCCCATATCCAAAATTTTACCCAATTTCATCATCTCTCGAAAAAGTTGTCAGTGCTTAATCCCACCCTTCCACCGAAAGCGATCGTCGCCTTTTGCTCCATAAATTTCGTCTTACTGTAATACGCATCCCGTGCAGTATTTCTGCATGATTGCGAGCGCCAAAATCCATTTTTCGACCCGGTCGTTCCATTGTTCCGTCCCTGCCGCCAGCTGTCACCAAGGTAAAGTTTTTTTGTTCCTTTTCTATTTTACTTCTTCTAGGCATGAAGGAAAACGGGTACGAAGCCGCACCGAATCAAATTGCTTCACTTCTGCAACGACCTGATCACTTAGAGAAGCTTCCACAAATGCGCAAAAGGGACGATAAGAAGAAGGTATATTTTTGATCTACACTCATGTGATTTTACTCTGATACTTACACACTCTGAGTGCATCTATCACTCTTGTAGTTTCACATTTGCTTTGCAGCAATTTCGTGGGTTTGCTCCTTGTTTATGTCCTGCCTGAGCAGTCTCTTGCGATAAAAAGACATTGAAAAGCGCCGTCTTATACAACAATGCTTTTTTGTGTCTATAACTGGCATAAACCCTGTGCTTCATTTGTTTGACATTTGTAAAGTACTGCCACGCGCCATGCTGCTGTAGAAGCTATGCTTTACTGGTGTACACTCACAATTAGAGGGCATTCGAACTGCGATTGCGCATCTACACATTGCTGCCGAGGACATCAGCGCCAGATTATCATATCTACGATAGATATTCTCCCTCTCCCCATACCAAAATTTATCCCCACGGTACAAGGCATAAGATTTATATTTGCTAATCTTTTTTGTAGAAATCATTAACATACTTCCTCATGCGAATGTTACGTCAGTCGTTATTTTTTCTTTTAGAATTCGTTTTTTTTGTCGCCTGAGGAATGTATTACTGCTGGTTATCTACAATCAAAGCATCCCAATATCACCGACTACTGTTCTGATCGACACTTCGACTCTGAGTTCGTCACAGTACTTGCGAGTGGTGACGAACAGGAACAAGTTAACTTCCATGGCTAGCAGGTATATCGAACATTTTTTTTACCTTAATCCCTTCAAGTCCTTCTTTTTTTATGATCTGTACTACTTTTAATCTTCATAATCTTATTTATACAACTGTTTATCTAATCTGGCTTCCGATAGGTATCGAATCAATGCACTGCACTGGTTGAAGCGGAAGTTTTGTGCCCCACAAATAATCCGGAGTGTTGAGGGATGGACGTCCATTGCCAGTTGAATTTTTATTGGTATGTTGTGATGGTGCATCTTTGTACTTGTTCCTGATATATTGCGTTTAGTTTGATCTATCGTTTTAGTCTATTTTCTATACCAACTTTCGTCAGGTTGATGTTCCTACTGGAATACCCAAAGAGCCGCAATATACTTTCTGGGTCTCAAAAAGTACCCGTTTCGCCATTGAAAACAGGGAAGCAATGGGGAAAATCCAGGTACATTCATTTTCTACGTTTTCTCTTTTTTTGACATCGATGTTTTGCTTATTGTTTCTAGTATCTTCGTATGATACTTTTACGCCCAAGACAGAATTCACGCGATTTGACCGTCGCGAGTCAATCGCCGCGATTTTCATTCATTTTCATTTTACATTCAAAAATTTCGGGTTGGAAAAGTATCGCAACCGAAATGCAAGCTGATCGGGGGGGGGGGAGGGGGGAAGGGGGAAGGGGGGGGGGGGTCGTATCCAGCACGGCCATGGCGAGGGGGGTCGTTTTCGGCCGGGCTGCGCCTGACCCCCTGCTCAACCCTGGATATAGCTGTGCAAGCCAGTCTTAAACGCGCTAGGACGAGTTGGTTATTTTCGTCTTACCATTGGAGGCTGCCCGCCGCAATGCTATAAACACTGGGTCCCGCAACGATGCAGCGCCTTCAGCCTTGCTTCAATCGTCCAACTTCAAAGCGATGGGCATTGAAAAACGTTCGTTTTCGCCATTTTCAAACTCTCTGTGGGTTTTCGGGATGTGCGCACTGGATAACCCCAGGTAAGCGAGAATGCGACGAGGATAAGGTTTGCCAAGTCACTGCCTCGAAATACAGAAGAAGATTCCGTTTTTTGAAAACGAAACTCAAAGTTATATCTAATTACTTGGCTTCAATATATTGGCGACGGTACGAATTCTGCATGCAGGGTCAAGCTTGTGATGCGACTGTCGCAACGGGGGGTCGTAAAGAGGGTACCTAATGTGGGGGGGGGGGTCGTAAGAGAAGGCAGTTAGGCTAAAATACCCTAAGCTCAAAAGGAAATCAAGCAGATAATTAGTTATGTAATTCACAATAGATCTATAAAAAAGTGGAAATCACAATGAAAAAGATAAAAAATGTGTAGAGATTCTCAAAAAAAAACTCAAAAAAAAACATTTACAAGAGCTCAAAACACTTTTGAAGGATGTATGGTTTGATAAAAATGCTAAATGTACCGATTGTCCTAGAAATCTTGCTTCTGAAACCCTCCTGAAGTCTCATACACTCGACAAAAGCGAATATCTTTACCAGCTGTGACCATCATAAATTTCTAAATCTTTTTGTAATGTTTTTCACGGGCCCATATAATTTATCTGTACTTTGGAGATGCTCCGCTACATCAGTGCAAAATTTGGTGTTATTTTGTCAACTGTGGAATCAGGAAAGGGGGGTCGTGTTTGGGTCGCATCCAAATTTCTTTGGAGCTATTGAAGCTTGTTGGCTGCAATTCTGCTGAAGCCATCCTTCTACTTTCCCTCATAAAAATTGCAGGCTGTTTTATAACTTCTCTGGTAATTTACAAAATTTTAAGCTCAAAAGTCCCAGTTTTTGCTTTTTAGGATCGCATCTAAATTTGCGAGAGTCGCATCTAAATTTTTTCGAGCTTACTGCTCCTCATGAGCTGAAACTTTTTCTATGGATAGTGTGGGCACCATACTACAGAACCTGTGCTTTGCAACCTCTCAGTCTTTTTCTGGCCTTAGTTACGAATTTTCAAACTACCGTGCTCATGCACGTTTTTGACATCGTTCTGGACGGCGCTAAAGCAGCTTTTTTCGCGGGAAAAACTGTGAAAGAGGTAGGAAGTAAGCTTCTTAGTCGAAAACATCTTTTGTAGTTCAAGAATGTCATTTTTTTCTCCGTGCAAAAATTTGTGTCGCATACGGATATCGAATTTGCTGGTCTGAAGTATGCCTGAAAATTCAAAAAAAACTTGCACTCAGACAATCGCTGGGGGCAGGCGGGCACCGGAAAAATAGATTGCTGATTTCTCGCACCCCGCTCGCGGATTTTTTGGTAAGCAATCAGGACTTTTCGAAAGACCGCTCGCTGAGTCTGCGGATTTTTGAGAGACCGCCTGTTGAATTTTTTTCGCTCTTATCTTTTGCAGATATATTGCTGAATCTCTGAGGAATCGAGAACTCAGCAAGCGGTCTTCCGAAAAGTTCTGATTGATTTTAAAAAAATTCGCGAGGGGTGCGAGAGATCAGCAATCTATTTTTCCGGTGCCCGCCTGCCCCCGGCGATTGTCTGAGCAGGTTCTCAAACATTATTGAAGGTGTGTTTGTGTGCTACAGATGCCGGACGCACCCATTGGCCTAGAAATTCTGCTTCAGAAACCTCACTGAAGTTCTCACGCAGGTGTTTCTCGAGACTGACATTCGTTTATGCAGGTTACCGCGAGGAATGTGGGCAGGGGAGATAAGGGGGATAAATGGCGGAGGTTGGGGAGGGGAAGGGGGAAAAGGGGGGGGGGGGGTCGTACGGATGGGCACCTTCAAGGGGGGGGGGGGTCGTAAATGAGGATTTCGGATCGCATCAACACGCTTGACCCTGTCTGCATGTCTATCACTGTATGAGACTTCTGTGCTTTCTAGGTCCCACCTCGTGTACAATATGCATGCATCAGTGGCGGTCGCAGGATTTCGGACCGGGGGGGGGGCGACAAAAACTTTTTCTAAATGAAGGTGCGTGGCGTTAGCCATGCTTTTCAAAATTTTTATGGGTCCACAATCCATAAAATCTGAAAAAAGGGGGGGGGGGGCGTCAGCCAAGCCCCAAAAAATTTTTTTATGAGGCTAATTCGAATTTTTAGAAAATTCTAAAAAACATTTTAATTATTTACAAAAATAAACAAGTCGTTTGCCATTTTTATAACCCATATAGATAAGTTTCAAAAATTTCGCGACCCATTCTCGGGGGGGGGGGCCTCCCGGTCCGCCACTGGCATGCATATATGCTAAAGTATGGATATATTGAGTTGGGAAGAAAGTTCTCGGGCACTTTTGAATTCCATTTTCAAACGCATTTTTTCGGTTCGGTGGAATTTTGACGCCGAGTTTTCTTCACTCTTTAGTAGCGGGAAGCCTACAGTTTCAAAACCGCCTCTGTTCTTTATCGATGCCAAACCGTGTTTAATCTGCGCATCAAAAAATGAAAATTTTCCTATCCTGCGATCATTTTTTTGTGCAGTTCAAAGAATTTCGTTCAAATCATGGGCGATCCGACTGAGGAGCCTGTTAATTAACCCGCAGCTGTACTCAAGTTTTCGATTTGCGCTCAAAATTTATAAGCTGTAGAACTTGCTTTTGATGCAACTCCTTTCGCAACTGGCGTCGCAACATCGCCACGCTTGGGTGGTGCGTCCAAAAGATGCATAAGGCATTACCCTAACAATGCTCGCAGCAATCATAAAATGGTTCAACCTCTGCAGAATTAGAAGATTTCAGAGTCGCTTACTCGAAAAATGGTGCATTTCAAGGAACAAAAAATAATCGATTTTTCAAACATTCTGGAAAAACTTTCTTTGTGGTCGCTTAAAGGCTCAAATAGTCTCCATAGCAGCCCCAGCAGACTTCTATATAACTACAGCATCTCCAACTTCATCGTGCCTGAGATAATCCTGCACAAATAGGTCATTTTTCGCGTCGAATTTTACCCTTCTGCGCGTGCTGGTGGACCGCAGTGAGGTGCTGAAAAGCCAGCAAGACAAATATTAGGTTGGTGCAAAAAAATGACCGATTTGCGAGTTTTCACTTTGACGTGCTATAACTTTTGGAAGAATCCACATTTCCGAATGCGGTTAAAACTATCAAAAGCAGCAAACCTTCTGCAATGCAGCGCACATTTATTTATACTCATATCACGAACGGGCAGAAAAATATGGATTGAAAAATAAAAAAATTCTTCTGCTAGAACCTTGCCTTTGACAATTCATATCTTCCTTCAAAGTTTGTTAGTATAAATGTTAAGTAGCCTATCTTGTAGCCGCAAGCCAGTGGTACAAAACGCAATAAGAAGAATTCGGACAGAAAAGTTTGCGAAAAAGAAAAAAATTGAAATTTGAAATTTCTCACTTTTTTGAACATTTTTTCAGTGTGCCTCAATGTCCCGAATATAGAATTGTCTGATTTTTCTAGGTACTGAACAGCTGGATGTTTTTGCAAAAACTGCTAACAGGATGCCCTAGCCCTACGCTTACAGAATTGAGCAAAGCTCCGGCGATTGACTTCTTCAGAAGCTCCGGCGATTGACTTCTTCATAAAATGACCGCAACAGCTACCCATGTTTAGGCGCCGATATCTCAGTCTGGATAGCCTCAAAGAACACAGTCAAGTATGCATAATGTAGACAATTTCTATTACATACAATAGCTAAATTTTCGAAGAAATCCCATTGATACGCGCTTGAATTCTGGCCGGAAAAATGAAAGCAGTGAAATTCTGAATTTGGATGCGGTTATTTGAAGCTCAGTAACTTTATAACAGATGAGGATGAGAGCACGTTTCAAACACCGTTAGATAGAGCATGGAAACAGCTTTGCGATGGTATACTACATCCATTGTAAAGAAGAAGTATTGATGGAAAAAAGTTGCCCTGAAAAAAGGTTTGGAAAATCGGCCATTACTTTTGCACCAACCTAATATAAATTGTGGACAGAAATGTCTTTGCAATGAGGTTTGTAGCTTTAAAAACGAATCAATCTGCTTGAAGTAGCTTTAGAAACTAATCAATCTGCTTGAAGTTGCAGCGATTTGAAAAAG